GCGCTAGTCCTGGTCCTCGCGGGGCCCGCTCCCGGGAGGCGAAGCTCCACGGAGGACGCGGAGGTGGTTTCAGGCCGCAGCGCCGGGGGCTCCTCTGCCCGCGCTGCTCGGGGAGACGGGTTGCTCTCTCTTCAAGTTCTAGCCTATCCGTCCCTCCATCTTGGAGAGAGACCCTCGCAGCCTTCCCGCGTTCACTCCGCCGGGGGCCGCTGGAGCGGAAGCTGCGGGGTCTCGGGGCCCGGCTCTTTCCCGCCGAGCCGCGAGCCGCGGGTGCGCATGCTCCGCAGAGGCCCGCACAGGCCCTGAGTGAACCCTGATAGAGCCATCGCGAGGCGGGGTAAGCGGAGCTCCAGTGGCGCAATCGGTTAGCGCGCGGTACTTATACAGCAGTACATGCAGAGCAATGCCGAGGTTGTGAGTTCGAGCCTCACCTGGAGCATGACCCTTTTGGGTACCCGCACGCCCTTTTTATTTAATTGCCCTAGGGAATGAGTCAGTCCCTGTTTAGCCTTCTCAGTTCCTGTTTCTGACCGCTCTGCGTGCACGTCCTGCACCGCCTCAGGCAGGAAGCCGCTCGCATTGACGCCTGTTACTCGCTTTCCAAGCTACTTGTTTCCCGCGCACCATCCAGCCTTTCGAACCCGGACTTTTACCTGTTGCTACCTCTTCCTAGAGCATTTCCTTTAACAGCACCCGGTCCCGGGTCATGGTACCGGGGATGCGGACGGGAGGTCCCAGGACGAGGTCAGGTTCCGGGCCGCTGCTCCTCACCCAGGGCCGGGTGCGGCGCGGTGCGCGCTGCGTGGTGGTGCCGGAGCCCGGCGGCCACTCCTGAGAGTTGGGGCCTGAGGCCCAGAGCAGGGCCTCCCCTTCCTTTTAACTACTAACTAGTCATGCCCCCCCACCCCCGTAGAGCCCCTTAATTGCGGGTCTTTCTCCCCCACCCAGGCCTCCAGGCCTCCCTGGGCGGATTTGCAGAGATCGGGAGAAGGGCCCGGGAGTTTCCCCGCCCCCACCTGGGCCCCTTCTCCCCGGTGTCGGTCCGGAGTAGTGGAATTCGCGGGCGGACCAGAGAACAGACGTTTTCTGGGATGTCCGAGCCCCGGGTGCCCTTTCATGCCTGCCACACAGCCCTGGTTCAGAAGCCCTGCAGGGGAGCGGGAAATCTGCCAGCTGGTTTTTGAAGTGTCCCAGCACGCGAACACGCCGCGGAGGCACGGGGCCGCTTTGCCAAGGGGTAGGGGGGTGCCCCATGGCCCCAGGACGTGGCGCGAAGTAGGGAACGAGTTTAGTTGGGGGTGAGAGGCCTCCCGGACGTGTTCTCCCGGAAGAGTGGTTTCAGCTGTTGTCATGGACGTGCTAGTAGTAACTCCTGGGATGGAAATTCTGCCAGGAATGGTGAGAAGAAAGACCTAGAAAGCTCAGAGGAAGTGGGTGGAGGGTGAAGCTCTTGTCTGTCTCCTCGGCTTCTAACCCCAGCCCCAGATTCGGATGAGGAGCCCCACGCCAACTGAAATGGGAGGCAGTCCGCCCGCCTCATGTAACCTGGCTGCCCGTTCTCGCTGGACCAGGGCCTTTCACTCACAAGCTCCTCAGCAGATGGTGAGTGCTCCTCTTTAGAAATCTAGCCAGATTGGAAACAAATATCTATACAAAAAATTTGCTTAATTAAAAAAAAAACACCCAGCTTTATCAAGATAATAACTCATATACTCTACAATTCACCCATTTAAAGTGTACAATTCAATGGATTTTAGTATATTCACAGATATGTGCGACCATCACCACAGTCAATTTTAGAACATTTTCTTCAGCTCAGTAGGAAACCCTGTATCCTTTAGCTATCACCCCATCCCATTGCTAAATAACCGCTAATCCACTTTCTGTCTCTACATTTCCAAGGTCTGGACTTTCATGTGAATGGAATCATAATACGTGGTCTTTTGTGACTGGCTTCTTTCAGTTAGCCTAATGTTTTCAAGATTCATCCACGTCCTACTCAGTATCAATACTTCATATCTGTTTATGGCTGAATAATATTCCATTTTATGGATTCTGTCCATTTTTGAACAATGGAGAAAAGATTGGCATTTTAAAAAATGCCAAAAACTGCTATTTATAAGGGGATTAATTAATTTTAATGATGGAAAGCATTTTCATAAGACCTATGTTAATTTTTTAAAGCTTCACTGTAACTAGTGTTAACAGTTTAGTAGAGTTGCCAAATGTTAGTAAAATTGCATATTTTTTAAAGGAAATTTCTTTTAAAATGTACAAAGCATAAAAACAATCACACTTGCCAAGTGCATTCTTTCAACCTTCAGAGTTTACTCACTGCAAGAACTGGTCAGCTTCTTCTGAGAGCTGAGCAGTTTCCCTACGTAGACAGAAATAACTGAATGAAAGATCATTTTGCCCAACCTCCTATTCATGTTGGAAACCCTTCTTCCAAACCCTAGCTCCTATTTGAAAACTTCTAGTATTAAAATGTCGTTTCTTCACAAGGCAATGCATTCCATTTTCTGTCAGCTCTCATGGTTTGAACATTCTTCCTCTTAAGTATTGTTCTATCCCTATTGGTTATTGCTGGAATGGTGGTGGTTTTGGGAACTGTTTTACTGGTGAGATGGTGAAGTGAGAAGGAAGGAAGCTCAATTAGTTGCCCTTGCTGATTAATCTAGAAATCCCCAAATGGGTGGTTCGTAGTGGATTACAAACAAACATACAGACCACTGGCAGATTGGTAAGCCAAAATCTTGATGTGATATTGATTGGATTTTTAAAGGTCATGGTAGGTAATAAAGATCAGATCAGAAAATTATGGGAAACTGCTATAAAAACTATAAAGTACTACATGTACAGGTGTAAGGAGGTGGCATTCTTATCACCACAAAACTAGTGGATTAGGCCTGTACACAATGTATGGTGGCTTCAAGGAGGAAGATGGGTAAACACGAGGTTGATGAGCTCGGAAGGTAGGTTGAAGTTATAGCTGAACAGCTGTTGGTGTCTAACAGGAGAGATGCCTCACCCACTCCATTGAAATCCATTGAACTTATACACAGGTTGGCATTAGCTTTGTAGATGGCTTGTATGAAGACAGGCTTATTAAAATTGCAAGATACAAAGCTGGAAGGGAGTGCAAATTCAGTAGAATTTGGTGGTAGAGCCAATCCAGAGACAAATGGTAAGATGCAATTTGATAGAGATAATTGGAACCTGTGTTCAGTGCAGAGTTCAATGTGGGGAATGCCTGACGTGACAGCTGTTTGCATGTAAAGGATCTGGGGATTTCAGATGTGTGCAGCCTCAGCTGTCCCGGCCGTGTGACCCAACTGCTAAGAATGTCAAGCAATTATTAACGCATTACTGTATAATGCATTACATGGTGTGTGTCAGAGACCACAAAACGGCAGCCTGTGGAACAAATCTAGCTTCCAGACAGGTTTTGTTTGGCTTTCTAGTACTGACTTGCAAAATATTTAAACATTTTTTTAATCATTTGCCTACATCTTGGTAGATTTTACTGAAATGCCTAGAGTTCAAGTTTCTAATGAAGAATCAAAAGACTTGGCCATCTGGGGCCCTCATTCCCAAATTCCCATTGGCTGCTCCCTTTGGATGGGCATGTGATCTTCCATTTGCCATGGTCCTCCATTAATCCCCGACACAGAGGTGGGTACCAGCTGTTTTCTTAACCCCTGACTCATTGCTCTCATTTGTGACCTACAGACACTAAGTGTGTGGAATACTCCTGTTGAACTCTCAATAGGTCAGAACACAGCCTGAGGGCTGTGACCTATATGAACACAGCCCATTTAAAATTCAACAAAACAGAACCCGAGTTTTTTATTATGGAGAATTTCAAGCATACCCCAAGTAGAGAAAACAGTATATTTAACCCCTGTGAATCCGTCCATCACTACTTTCAAGAATTGTCAAGTTTATTTCATCTGTCTCGTTCCCACAACATTCTCCCCTAGGCTAGCACTGTCACTGGAATATTTTAAAGGAAATCCCAGATATAGTTTAATTTAACTTACAAATACCTCAGTATGTATACCCATCGGATGACCACTTTTTAGAAGAGCATAACTACAGTGTCATTATTACACCTAACAAGATGAATCATTGTGCCTCTGCATCGTCTAACACATAGTCTCTGTTCAAATTTCCACACTTACCTCTGAGAGATATTTTTACACTTGGTTTGTTTGAATCAAGAACCAAACAAGGTCCACACATTGCTTTTGATCAATATATCTTTTGAATCTCTTTTCATTTATACCAGTTCACATATATTTGAATACTACTCTCTCTCCACTCCCTTTTATGATATTTATTTGCTAATCTGTAGAATTTCTCATAGAATTTGATGAGTTGCATCCTCAGAGCATCCTTTAACAATTCTTCAATCCCCTCCTGACAGTTAGATTTAGAAGCTTGATAATATTAAGAATCAAAAAAATTTTTTTGCAAAAATATATTCTAGGGGGTACTGTGAACTGTTGCAGCACAAGGGAAAGTACATAATGTCTGGTTGTTCCACTTTTACTGGTGTTAATTTTATTGGTGATTTCAGATGTGGTCAGCATGAAGCCATCCATTATAAAATGCCGCATCATTCTCTAACCTAATGGTTTTAGCAGCTGTTGATGTTCTTTGTCTAGATTTGTTATTTTATTTAGGATTACCCAATAGTGGGTTTTTAAATTCTGTAATTCCTTCTGTATTTGACTATGATTCTTAAAAAAACCCTCCTTTTCCCCATCGACTGGTTTTCCTAAAGCACAATTCACATAGAAAAGACTAAATAATATTGCTTGACCCTTTTCCTTTTACTGCTAATCTTTAGAATAATGAGTTGAGGCTGTAGCAATTCCCAAAGGTGACCAATTTGTTTTTTACTTTAAAGCTTTTTTTGAGGTATAGTTGACATGCAATGAACTGCATTAATGATGTTAAGTAGCTTTTTTAGTGCTTGTTAGATGTTCATATATCTCTTTAGTGAATTACCCGTTCAGATCTTTCGCCTATTTTTTTATTGGGTTGTTTGTCTTTTTAGGATTGAGTTGTAAGAGTTTTTGTATATTCTAGATATAATTACTTTGTTGGATATGTTTTATAAATAATTCCTCCCAGTTAAGTGGCTTGAGTTTTCATTTTCTTAATGGTGTCTTTTGATAAGCAAATTTTTATTTAAAATTTTGATAAAGTTCAGTTTATCCATTTTTTTCTATTATGGATGGTACTTTTGGTGTTATGTAAAAGAAATCTTTGCCTAACCCGAAGTCATCAAGAATTTACTTTATGTTTTAGTTCTTATTTAGGAGTTAATTTTTGCATTTGTTGAAATGATTAAATCCTTTGAATCCTTTCCTGATTGAATTGCCTTGACACCTTGTCAAAAAGGAGTTGATGATAGATGTGTTGGTCTTTTGCTGGAATCTCATTCTGTTCATTCTGCATGTCAGTGTAGTGTTATCCAAAAACACCACACTGTGCTGATTACTATAATTATATAAATATATAAATGTATATATGTGAATATATATATTTCCATGTTAACTTTAGAGTCAGCTTGCCAATTTCTATGGAAGCATCTTGGAATTTTGACAAGAATCTGTTGAATTTATTGATCAATTTGAGAAGAATTGCCTCCTTAACAATATTAAGTCTTCTGATTGCATAAACAAGGTACATAGCTCCACTTACTTAGGCCTTTAATTTCTTTAAGCAATGTTTTGTAGTTTTCAGTGTATAACTCTTATATTATTTCTTCCTTAAATATTTGGTAGAATTCACTAGTGAAACACTGGGCCTGCTGTTTTCTTTGTGAGAAGGGTTGTGTTGTGTTTTTGTTTTTGTTTTTATAAATTCAATTTCATTAATAGGTATGGGAATTATTCAGTTTATCTATTTATCCTTGAGTGCACTTTGGTATTTTGTATCTTTCAAGAAATTTGCCTATTTCATTAAATTTGTTGGCATAAAGTTATTCATAATATTCCCTTCTTGTCTTTAGGATCTGTAGTGGTATACACTCTGATTTCTGATATTGGTAATTTGTGTCTTTTCTCTTTTTTTTCCTGATAAGTCTGAGAAGATGTTTTTCATTTTTATTTATCTTTTAAAATATCTAGTTTTTGGTTTTATTGATTTTCTTTACTGTTTTCCTGCTTTTCATTTGATTGTGATGCATTTGAAGAGAATATGTACTATGCTGTTGTTGGGCAGCATGTCAGTTACATCAAGTTGGTCTATAGGGTTGTTCAAGTCTTCTGTGTCTTTGATTTTTCTGCTTACGCACTCTGTCTGTCCTTGAGAGAAGGGTGTGAAAATAACCAACAATGATGGGTTTTTATGTTTCTCCTTTTAGTTCTCCCTTTTTCTCCTTCATGCTGTTGGAAGCTCTGTTACTGGCTGTGTAAACGTTTAGGACTGTTAACCTTTGTTGATGCTTGATTTGTCCCATGTAAGGCCATGCAAAGTCCCATTAACTTGACTCCTGGATTTTTTTGACATAATCTTAGATCTGTGATAGTCTTCTTGTTCCCCTCATGACAAGGTATTTCAAAATGTGTTTTGTACTTGTCTTCCTT